TTGAATACTAATTTAATTAATATTTTAATGACATTTCCTATATCACTGAGATCGACTAACAGAGAAGCCTTTGCCACATTTACTTAAATTGTCTGAAGCACACTTTAACATATTTTCCAAATTATCTCTTTCAAAAGATATCTAGCTGGTGGGGACATGGACAAGTTGCATGTACATTTCAGGCATATATCTTCAAATTTTTAGTGGGACTCAGGAATGAGCATTTTTAATAAACATAACAGTTTGTTATTATGCAAATGTTGTGAACCACATATTGAGAAACTTTTTTCCTAGAGCAGGGAATAAGCAGGTAACTTTCCTTTGACTGGTTAAGCTTAGCCAAATATATTATTGTAAATACAGCATTTGACTTTTATAATTAGGGTTTCTTTGGCAATTAGAAAAAAAAATATGTTATGATCATAGAACCTCATATAGAGATTACTGTACTGCTTTCACCAAAATGCTGAAATAATAATCATAGGCCTATTTAGTAATGCCAACTAGCTGAAGATACATCTGGAGTAGAGACATTAGAAAAACCCCACATATCCCCTCAAAAGAGGAAACCATTATTAAAAACATACTGGTTAATGTGTCTGACTTACCTTCTACTCTGTCACTTGAAATAAGTGACATTGCTAAGTCACTATGCTAAAATATTTTATAGACTGAGAGGAAGCATGAAACTAGAGGTATTCAGTCCAAACAATATTTATGAAATATTTGAATATTATAACAGTTGCTCCTGAAATATAGTAAAAATCTATTCTAAAACACATGACCATAATCAGGTTTTCATCAGAAGGTGTATTTGCACGATTTCCTTTTGAAACAGCACCTTCTTATCAGTTAAAATTCCCTCTAGCTATCATAACAACCATAATTGATTTTTATTGTAAGAGTATTTAAACACCCATCATTATTGTCAAGTTTCACAAGCAATATTTAGCAAAATAAGAAAGTTACAAAAATGCATATACATTATATGTAAAGGTAAATGTAAAAATGAGAATCAAAACTGAATATTGACTTGTAAATGTGATAGTTTATATCATTATGTATAGATATAAAGTTCATTACAAAGAATGAATTGGTGAATATTAAAACATTGTTCTTATGGAATATAAAGGGTTGGGTTCCTGTGCAACTCTGGTCAAACATTTTTGCCAACTGATCAGTATTTAATCTTGTTTTATGTATGCTTCTGTTCAAAGATACATCATTTAATAAATAGTGTTTATTAACATTGGACTTGTGTTGACGGCATTATAACTTATGACAAAAAGGTTATCTAACACATTTATTTTCTCCATGGGACACATCACCACATTTTTGTGTTCAAGATCACTAAATGGCATTTAAGTACCATGCTTGGGAGCCATTTTAAGTAGCAGAAATCACCACACACACACACACACACAAGCAACCCACACAAATTTCTGGCACTTATTTACTGACTGAAAAACAATGATGGATTGGTCAATACAGGTTAAGTCTACATCCCAACAACAGTGTATAGGTGTCCAGTTCTTCCACATCCTCACCAACATCTATTGTTTCAGGTCTTTTAGATAGGGGCCATTCTCACAGCTATGAGATGGTCTCTCATTGTGGTTTGTATTGCATTTCCCTGATGACAAGTGATGTTGATCATTATTTTACATGTGCCTATTGATGTCTTCTGTCATCAGTGTGCAGATATAGGCCATTTGGTTATTTTTGCTTTAGCTTCCCTTACTGTTGCAATCTAGTCTCCAAAGACATCCCTGAAGCCAAACTTGTGGAGTGTTTACCTATTTTCTTCTTAGATTTTATGTTTTCAGATTTTACATCCAAGTCTTTTATTCTGTTTGAGTTGTTTTGTATGCGATGTGAGATAATGTTCCCAGTTTATTTTTTTTGTTTCTTGCATGTGACTGTTCAATTCTACCAGAAGCATTTGTTGACAAGACTTTCTGAGATACTGTAATTTATAATACAAATGTTTATAGTGGGTAAAACTAAGAAAAATTCCATCCAAGAAAACAATAACATCATAAAATACAATTCATTTTTTAAATCATTAACTTGTAAAAAATTGTGAACTAAAAAATCAATGAAAGAGAACATTTTCTACCAAAACATCATAATAAATATGTAAATTTAAAGCCTATTTTATTAAATATTGCTTAGATATGCATTGCACCTATACTTTGATTTTAAAAAAGTAGCAAACAGTTTTTAGTCTTTCTGTCTTAAAGTGTGCAATTCTATATAGCTAGGTTTTTTTTTTTTAACTCTCATTAAAACTTAGAAGCTCATCTAGGTGTAGCACATTTTTATTAAGATTATTGCTGTGTACTTATATAACTTTAACCCAATACTTTGAAGGTTTCACATGTCTTCATTATATTTTTCAACTTTTTTTCCCCCTGGTGTATAAGGATGCTATTGATTTTCTAATTTTATCTTATCATACTCCAATTCCTTGGGCTGTTTTTGTAATTCAATTATGGTTCTCTTGATTCCTTTAAGTTTATAAATATATGATGCTATTATCTGAAAATAATGATAATCTTATCTCTCCTCTACATTTATGGTCTTTATTTTTATTTTGTAGCTTACTGCATTTATTACCAAATAAATTCATTTAATTATATCACTCTCAGAATCATTAGTTTTTCTCTGTTGTTTGTCAAGTCAAGTTGTAGTATTTTCCAATACTTGGTAACACTGGAACTTAGAATTATCAGCTAGGTGAGAGGTTGTACTTTTCATTAATATGCTTGCATTGACTTATCCAATCCTATAATGATGAAAGATGCACTTTTCCAAGATATAGCCTGTCATCTATAAAATTTATTCCCTGAAATTATTACAAGTTTGTAAAAATCCCTAAGTAACTTAGCATTGTTCTCTGGCCATTTTTACTAAATTGAAATTTTGATTCATTTTAATCATTAAAGAAATATTGAATACCTGCGTAAATTTGATAGAGAAAATAGTATGGATTATAAAATTTGGTTAGCTTTTACAGATTCTAGTCTTCTTCCTTGGATACATTTTAACTAGTTGGAAAGAAATTTTATAAAATCACATTTATTGACTTGGCTGAAAATTTTGCATGGAATAAGTAGGCCAAAATTCTAAGGGAACCACATAAGTTGTTGTTTTAACTTGTATAAATCCACACATACTCCTAAAATGTTGGATCAAAATTATTATAATGATTTTTAGCTTTTACTGGGGGAGGCTTCTTTTTTTTTTTTTTTCAAAATTTAAAATTGTGGAATAATTCTTGGCCCAGGCTCCAGTAAAACAAAAATAATAAAAGGACCTGTAGTAATTTCCACTGTTGTGTTACTATCTATAGAAAAAGACCACTCTGAGTTCTCCTCTGACTAGTCAAGCAATCAAACTAACATCAGACTGATTAGTAGAAAAGAACAAATTTAGGGGTCTCCCTGGTGGCTCAGCGGGTTGAGCGCAGCACTGTGAAGCTGTCCTCAGCCTCTGCAGCACCGGTTCGATTCCCAGATGGCCAGGGAGATTCACACATGACATGGCAGACCTCTCCTGTCTCTCCCTCTGCTACTCTCAGCAATGTATTTAGGTTGTCTGCCTGTTCTGCTCCCCGCTCTGTCTCTGGTGAATCCTCTCACCATTCTATGCCTCTGGCCTGTACCCCAGCTCTTGTATAAAATAAATGAATAAATAAATAAATCTTAAAATAAAAAGAAAATTAAAAAAAGAGAACAAATTTAATTACATTCATATGGAGACTATACATGAATATATATTCTAAAATCCATGGAGCAAATTGAGCATATATATGTCCTGCACTAAGGAATAGGATAGGCTGGGACTTCTCTAGAGAGAGGAAGGGAACGCACATGACAAAGACCACATGCTCTGCAATGAGATGCTTGGCCTATCATATAGATAGATTTCTCTAAAAAGAGTTATTTTTGGTAAAAATCCTAATTCTGGGTAATATCCCCAATTTTCATTTTTCTTGGTAGTTAAAGTAGTGGTGAAAGTTTCTATTGAGCCTAAAAGCCTTGATTGATCTTAGCTTGAAATAATCCACATGCTAAAACACACGTTTTGGGAAAGTTTGTCTTGAACACCCTGGGGAGGCCATTCTAAATATTTTGGGAAACCTGTCCTTCTGTTAATGCTTATACTAGAAACAGCTGCAGAGATCGGAATCAACAGTAATAAATGACTCTGTGGTCTCTTTTCTACAACTTCATATTGATGCTCAGTGTGGAGCACCATTGTGGAGAAGTAGACTTGCCCCATCATATAATATATTAATAAGAAGCAAAATAGCTATAACAAAACTGTACTTTTCCCATTCCTTGGTCCTGAATTGACCTAGGCTTTCCCAGACAGGGAAAATTTTATGAGACTATTTTGTCTTTTTGGAATTAAGGAAAATAATGTCTTCGGAGAGTCATAGAAAGTATATTACTAAAATAATATTTTAGCACTTTTATGGAGCGACTCTAATGTTCTGTCAGTATTATTGAAAGTTGAAAATCTCTGGAGGCGTGGGATGGGATGAAAATGGCGGGGGGAGGAAGAGCACAAGGGAATATGGCGATGGACTATTGGTGCTTTTGTGGTGGGAGAACTATGGTGATGATACCAGAGGGAAGAAATCACATATTGTAAAAAAAATATATACAAAACATATATATAAATTATATATAAAAACATAAAATGAAATTAAGATACATATGTTTAAAAAAAGATGCGTAAATTCAAGAAGACATAATCTCAATTGAAAAATCAATCTAATTTGTTAACCTTATTGATTATGCTCAATGTTGATGCCTGAACAAAATTATGTAAGATTATATAATTTTCATTTAGGACCAACAAATACCTCAATGTAAGAGTAGTAAGTGTTATCCAAATATATTTCCATTTCCACATTGAGAAATTTAAAGGTATTAAAGTAATTTATAATATATTATGAAATATCAGCATCCTAAATATGTACCCATTACCTTCTATATATATTATTCTGCTGAGTTACATCAGAGAAGTCTGTTTCCAGTTTGGAGTCTAAGTTTCCTCTTTAGCAGTTGTGGTTGTCCTCCAAAAGAAAAAGCTCCTACAATGTCTTCATAGTAGAATATTCTAGAAGAATAATAGGACACATAATATTACCAAAGCACCAGTTATATACCCAGGGCATTTAGGAAATACATATACCTGGAATATAATGTTGCCAGTATAGCTCTCATAAAGTGGTATTTTGTAAGCAAAAGAGTTACCCTAGAGGAAACAATATGTACTATAATCTAGATTCATAATTCTATTAGTATAATCTAGGCTCACATTTCTAATAATAACTAGGATTGATAATAATAAAGACTGTGATATTTGAGGTAAATATAGGAGAAATGGATGCTAAAAGTTACGATTTTCTTGTTTTGCAATTTCAACAGAATGCCCACCAATTGCTACTAGTTGCTGGGGTTTATAACGTGTGAAATTAAAAGTAAATTGAACATGGGAGTTGGGGAGCTCTATTATTTAAAGTTTTAAAAGACTATACATGCATTATTTTTATTTAAAATAATTCTACCTTTTAGAAGCAGTTGTATTAGTAGGAATTAGATTTTGTCAGTCTTAACCAGAGTGAAATTAACTACAACTCTACCAGGTAAGAGAACTGCTTAGGAGTTTTAAGGTTTTTTTTTTTTTTTTTTTAAGATTTATTTATTTATGCATCCAAGAGCTGGGGCACAGGCTAGAGATGTGGGAAGTGAGAGGATTCACCAGAGACAGAGTGGGAAACAGAACAGGCAGACTGACGAAATACACTGCTGAGGGGAGCAGTGGGTGAGACAGGAGAGATCTGCTTTGCCATGTGGGTTTACTCCCTGGAGGGCCGGGGATCAAACTCGTGCTGCAGAGGCTTCAGATTGCTTCACAGTGCGGTGCTTAACACCTTGTGCCACCAGGGAGGCCCAGGGTTTTTTAAGGTTTTATTTTTCTTGGTAGTATCTTACTATCTAAAGACAGAGCATTAACCCAGGTGTTCTCTTGAGGATACTTCAAACTCTAAATCTTATATGCTAGTTATAACATTATTTAGTCAATGAAAATTGTATAACATAAAACCTAGGTAGAAATGGATTTAATAACTCATACCAGTATAGCTATCAAAATGAATGTACTTACTAGATATATTTTAAATATCAGGGATAAAAAAACACACTGTATTTTTAACACTACCTATCTTTTAGGAGTCAAGATTAGAATATTAGGAATGAGAAGGACCTTTATTTTTCTTTATCAGTATGGGTACTTAACAGATATTTTAATTAAATGCATCTTGTAAAATTTATGATTATATAATTAAAACATATAATGAAATTATATAAATGTAAATACTCAACTGGAGAAGCCTCACATTATCTTTATTGTGCATCCATGGGGCTTCTCTCCAGAAAACTATATCATGAGCTTAAATGATTCATCTATTGGTCTTTACCATCATCTGTTTTTTTCTCAAAGATAAACAAACAAGAAATCAAATCAACAAAAAGTAGGCCTGGTGCTGCAAATCAAATGGCATGAGTTTACCTTTTAATAAGGGATCAGGAAAAAACAATAAATAAAAAAACAAAATTAACAGGCAACTATATATAAATTCATCAGGGGAGAAGGAAAAGGGATCAGAATAGGAGGGAAGAGCACAAGGCACTATGAAGGTGGTGCACAGGTGAATTGGTGGTGGGAAGTTTACAGGGACTACACCTGAGAAAGCACACATAGTACAGAAATGAACAATGATATAAAATATATATTAATTAATAAAAATGTAGGCATGTTTTTTTCATCACACCTCACTTTTTCTTAGCTTTTTTTGCATCTCCTGGCATTTAATTAATTTTCAAAATTATAAGTTAACATTATTTACCTGCTACATTTCTAATTTACTGAACAATATTCCTTGAATATGGTTAAGAAAAGAATAAAGGAAAACAAAGAAGCCTGGTATAAAACATTTTTTCTAGCTGCCATGATTAACATCATTAATCAAAAATGTGTAAGTCAAAACTTTACCTACTTAGAGTCACTCCTATCGCAGCACCCTGAAAAAAAAATATATATATATAAACTCTTAAAACTTTGACCAGAAAGAGGAAAATCAAGATCCAGGAGTTTTTCCACCTATAACTGGGATTTTCCCCCAACTTAATTGCAGTTGGCTCTGCAGATTGAGATTTTTCTAGGTAGACTACAATGAGAAAACCTAAAGCCAATTATCAGACTGACCTTCTACATGTAGCTGTCCTAGTAGTTTGACAAGCCTTCTTGTCCTTAAAATTTGTTATTAATTCTACAAATAGCTGATACAGTGTACTTGCTATTGTAGGTATAAGCATTATTGTCCTATGTTACTTCATGCTCTCCAGTTCTTGGTGGACTTTCTAAGAATCTGAGGAAAAAAGAAAATTTCTTCTTAAGTAGAAGAGTCACTAAGAGGGAGAAAAGAAACAGAAACATGCCAAATAGAGATGGATTGGCCTATTTGACTCTGACCTATTTTAGCTTACCAAGTTACTAGAGAGAAGTGAAATTTGCTTTAGTATGCTTTATTAAAATTCTTCTATTTTTTCTTTGAAATGCATTCCAAGTGCCTATAAATTCAGATCAGATCTGTACTTCTTTGGAGTGCAAGTCCAAAAATGTTTAATAGTTTTTTAAATTAAGTTTAGTGTTAAGGATCAAAACAATGTGCCACAGTTTACTTTAAATGATGGGGAATAAGAAAGGTGCTGAACTGTTGTTCACAAATAATTTATGAGAACAAATTATTAGTTAACAGTGGTTGTAATGGGCCTTTTTGGTGGCCTAGGGATTAAGTCTCAGCACTATCACTGTGGCAGCCTGAGTTTATTCCCTGACCTGGGAGCTAACCCACATGGTGCAGCAGACCTCTCCTTTTTCATCTACTGTTCCCCATAGCAGTGTATTTTAATAGATTCATCTGTTCTGCTCCCCACACTGTCTCTGGTATGTCCTCTCACCCCCCACACCTCTGGCCTGCACCCCAGTTCTTCTATGCAAAAATAAATAAAATCTTTAAAAAAAAAGTGTGGTTGTATCTCCACTGATTTGTTTGGATATCTGCTTTTACTTTCCATGTAATTGTGTGACTACATTACTCTTAAATTATCAAGAATTATAATGCTTTGTGGTCTTCTGTAAATTAGTTTCTAGGGAAAGAGTTTTAAAACTATTACTTATAGATGTGAAAGAGGAAACATGGATTTAATTTTATTAGATTTTTGATGGTTTAAATGTCCTTTAAAATAATGCTTCAGCAAATACTGGCTTTATCATGAATTAAAAGCTTTACTAAAATGACACTGAATTCGTAAAGAGTGACAAAGTAAAAAGAATGTTGAGTGAGAGCAAGTGACATTTGATGGTAATTTTAAATCATTGGCACTAAAAAGAGTTGTTTAAAAATACCAGTGTGACCATGATTTGACACGTAATTAATTTGCCTTTGAATTGTAAGGTCCAATTTTAACAGGAATGAGTTATGATGACATAACATGAGAGATTATTAATCTCACATTATAATGGATATTGCCTTATAGTTTTAGAAAAACTCTGGATTATTTCTTTTCTTTCAAAAGATAAATGCAGTTTGAAATTAATGAGTTGTGCAATATCTGACCTATTTGTGGACACCTGGGAAGATGTATATTTTAGTCTCTTAAAGAAGAGCGGACATTAAAGGCTGTGTTTTAATATTTGGCATTGGCTTGGGATGGTTGACAGATTCAAAGAAATAAACTTAGGTTTAAGTATTTCCTATGTTTGGATGCCCAGTAGAAGATGGTGTCAGAGGAGTTTCCCTGCATCACTTCTGGGAAGATAATTTTAAAATAGTCCAGAAGGACGCTGGATCCAGAGGATCCCGTGACTTGGGAAAAAACTAGAGCACCTCTTAGGCATTGGTATCAGCACTGTCTTTGCCAGAGGGACACAGAGAATATTCAATATCAGACAAAAAAATGGTGGATGGAAAATATGCCGGTGACTGTGACTGGGGGTGGAATTCACAAACCTTGGAGCTGTGCTCCTATGTTTGTTTGGTGACCCTGCAGAGTAGAGATGGTTAGTGTGGGGGAATACCTCCACTAATTAGGAGTAGATACCTGCAGAGGGCCTGGGATGTCCCAGGTGGGCTGGGTACCGGGTGAAGAGGACAGGGTGCAGAATGGCCCTCTGCCTACTCCATCCTCATAGGACTCAAGCCAATCTTGTGAAGTATGAAAGTGTGGGCATAGACTGCAGAAATGCACATGTTCTGGGAACCCAGAGAGAAGAGCTATCAGCAGTACCATAAATAGGAGCTACCCTGGCATACCACTTTCAACAGTGACCGAATCCCTCCAAATCCTCTTCCTTCCCATAACTCAACAATTACAGACCAGTTCTTCCCAACTTACAACTATTGAAACACCAAGCCATGTTGGGACTTCAGTATCCCACATTTGTTAACAGGTAGATCACCAGACAGAACCTGACAGAAAATAAACAAGAAAAACCTTAAAGAAAGAACATATTAGGCCACGTGGCTTAATAGACATTTATAAGGCACTGCACCCCCCAAAAATCCGAAAATGTTCTTCTTAAGTTTATGTGGGATATTCTCCAGCGTAGATCATATAGAGGATCATGAAGCAAGAATCAATAAATTCATGGAAATTGAAATTGTATCAAGTAGCTTCTCTGATCACACTGGTATCAAACTAGAAATCAACCACAGAACTGAAGGGATATGTAGACATTTGTCTTAAGAGTCTGGGATTTATATTTATTTATTGCTTGAGATGACTCAGACTACATCTGTCTAGCTTGTGATTTCTTGCCTTTAAGCCTTTACCAAGTCATGGAGTTTATACTCTTTTCATATATTTTATTTCTCATCTCCAATTTCCATTTGAAGTTCTACATTATGGTGATATTCTTTTGGACACTAGAGATAGGTACATAGATCCAGATGTCATTTAAACTCATATTCCTATACTTTCCTTAGTAAATGTTGAAGACAGTGATATTGAAACAAATAATGGGTAAATACAGATTTATTAACTTCATATAATTTGCTAGGTTTCCCTTTGCACCTCCTTCTGACACCTCCCTCTATCCACTTAACCTCTTCCCTTTCGGGTAAACAAATATGGATAATTGGGATGATGCATTAGGAGGGATATAAAATTGGATGTCAAATATGCCCAGGCTATGAGAAGAGGTTCTGTGATACTAAGACATATAAATATGAGAATAAGTTATGCAAGTGTTATTATTAGTTTGAAGCAATAATTTGCAGCATAACCAAGGAAAATAGCTGAAACTTAATCAAGGAAATTACATGGATTGAAACTGCGCAAAAAAAAAAAAAACACAAAAGAAGACATTAATGGAATAATTGAGGAACAAATATGATGTACGAAATATAGAACACAAATGGCAAAATGGCAGGAGATAATTCAACAATATAAACAGTATTTTGGATGAGGGTAGGGCATAGAAATCTTCCTTCTCATATTCCTTTTAATATTTTCTATAATGAACTCAATTGTGTTAATTATCAAACATATAGTCAGCTTTAAAAAAATAAATAAAATTGTGGCAAGCTAAATATCAGTTTGGGTACTATGTATAGGTCTTAGTAGGCAAAGGTATTAAACTGTTTATTTTTCCAGCCACTGCAAAATTCTAACAGTAGATTTTTTTTTCTTGTTTCCTCTAAGTACTAAGGAATACATATCTAGGTATAGAAATGACTAGGTATATGAACTTTAACACTGAGGCAATATTAAGGCATAATGAGTCCCTTTTGTAAGAAAGGCAATCATTTAGGTCCTAAAGATAAGCTGTTTAAACAGATGTTTTAAATCAAATGTTTTAAAATTATATCACTATTTTTGTACAAATTCTAGAATATCAGTGTTACTAATAATTTCCTGGGAAAACATATATAATTTAAGTCAAACAGTGTTTAGTATAAAAATGAACAAAATTCCTTTAGAACAGAAATATCTGAAGTGTATTGTGTTTGTTTACTAATAGAAAGTCAGTAATTTTCAAATATTTCAATATCCATTAATAAGGATAATTCTAGTTTTATTTATCTGACCATGTTAATAGCAGATACTATATAGTTAATAGCAGATACTATATAGTTCTTATCAGCTAGTATCCTTTGATTCTAGATCTAGTCCTATTCACTTGCCCCTCCATTGTCTTCTTAGTCCTGCATCTAACCTGTCAGTGTTGACTAAACACTAATAATGTCAGCAAGGTGATTTGAGAATGAATCCTGCATTTGTGCTCATTGCCATAGTTCTTTTCTTTTTTTTCGTTTTTTTAAGATTCTTTTTTTTAAAGATTTATTTATTTATTTATTTATATAAGCACTGGGTACGGTCAGAAGTGCAGGAGGGTGAGAGAATTCACCAGAGCCAGAGCAGGGAGCACAATAGGCATACTGACGCAGTACACTGCTGAGGGGAGCAGCGGTTGGCAGGAGAGGTCTGCGCACCATGCGGGACCCTCCTCCAGTGGCTGGGGAGCAGCCGGGGGTCGATCCTGCGCTGCAGAGGCTGCGGGCAGCTTTGCAACCCAGCGCTCAATTGCTGTGCCACCGGGGAGGCCCATAGTTTTTTTTTTTTTTTAACTGTGGTAAGAACACTTAATGTGCCAATGGATGAATGAATAAGGACTACATGAATACATGAAATTTGCAATAGAATATTATTCAACTGTGAGAAAGAAGGCAATTCTACCATTTGTTTATTGTTTGTTTTTTAAGATTTATTTATTTATGTATCCAAGAGCTGGGGTAGAGTCCAGAGGTGTGGGGGGTGAAAGGATTCACCAAAGACAAAGTGGGGAACAGAACAGGCAGATTGACCAAAGTGCACTGCTGAGGGGAGCAGCAGGCGAGTCAGGAGAGGTCTGCTGCGCCATGTGAGATGCTCCCTGGCAGGCCAGGGATCGAACTCATGCAGCAGAGGCTGCGGATAGTTTCATAGGTTGCATCTTAACCCCTTGCGCCACCAGGGAGTCCCAATTCTACCATTTGTGACAACATTGGAGGACTTTGAGGACATTATGCTAAGTGAAATAAATCAGACAGAGGAAGACTAACACTGTATGATATCATTATTTGTGGAATATAAGAAAATCAAAATTGTAGGAACAGAATAATGCCGATTACCAGTAATTGGAGGATAGAATAAATGAGGGTGATCACAGTTAAAGGATACAAATTGTAAGTGACAAGACACATAAAAATTAGGAATCTAATGTACAATATGGTGAATATAGTTCATAATATGTATATATAACATACTTAAATGTAATTAAGAGAATAGATCTTAAATGCTTTCACAGCAAGAAATAAAATATTAATTAAGTGATGGGATAGAAATTTTAACTAGTGGTATGGTGATAATCATTGTGTATGTACATCAAATCAGCACCTTTGACCCTTTAATTTACATGATCTTGGGCCTCCCCGGTGGCGCAGCGGTTGAGCGCTGGGTTGTGAAGCTGCCTGCGGCCTCTGCGGCGCCAGTTCGATCCCTGGCTGCTCCCGGCCACCGGAGGAGGGTCCCACATGGCTTGCAGACCTCTCCTGCCGCCCGCTGCTCCCCTCAGCAGTGTACTTCGGTCCTTCTGCCTGCTCTGCTCCCCGCTCTGGCTCTGGTGAATTCTCTCACCCTCCCCGGCTTCTGACTATACCCAGTGCATGTATAAACAAACAAACAAACAAATAAATAAATAAATAAAACATGCCTCTATTTAAAAAAAAAAAAAAAATTACATGATCTTATATGTCAATAATATCACACAAAACTGGGTAAATGTGAAATCCTAAAATCAAAGGTATAGCTTGAGTTTTAAAACTTATGGAAATGTGATTTAGAATGTGGTTTTGTAGTTCAGTTTGATTAAAAAATGCTTATAGAATTCATTATAAGTTCTAGTATGTGATACAAGAACTAGTATAATATAAAAACTCCTATATCATGCAGAAATCCCTTGTCTTTAAGAAGTTAGTTCAATTTTTCTTGACATTCATCATATAAAATTTGTCAAACTAATAAAATTGGGCCCTTAGAAGCAATAAGCCAGTTGAAGTCCTAAACCTACAGGAATACCCTCTTTTCTTTGTATTTGTCATCTTAAGAGCAAAGATAGAGGAATGCTTAAAGCCAAAAATTCAACACCATAATGACTTTTTGGGTTTAAAACTAGATCTGACACTCTTTACTCATCTCTAAAAGAGAAATGAAATTAGTATTTCTAGGTTGTATTAAATGAGATAACACATGAAAGGAATTCCATACAGCACTTAATAGTGACATTATCACTGTCATTATTTAAAATACCTTTTAATATTAAAGCCATTTTTGTAGCCGTAAGGTAAAACACTTGCCAGAAGCAATGCAAAATGTTAATGTGGTTTTACATTTTTTGCTGCATCTTCTGTCATCTCTCCCTGTCCTGCTTGTTTTTATATTCTCTCCACCTCTTTTTTTCCAGTAAGCCTCAGTGCAAGGTATCCTGTGTAGCCTCTTAGACTCCCAAACCAGAACAATTTACTGCCTCATGTGTGTTTCTATAACAATTTAAATATCACCTCTAATAGCCTTTATTGTATCATGTCATTGATTTTAGTTTGTATGTGTCTTTCCATGACACTGGCAGCTTCTCAGTGCTAGAACTATCCTACTTATTTTTGCATATAACGTGAGCTAATACAAATGCTGAAAAAAATGAATATAATGCTCCATCATTCATATTCAGAAACATTTTAAGCACTTAGTGTGCTGGGCTTCATTTTAGGCACTGGGGTGTGGCTCTCTAGGAACTTTACATTCTAATGGGGGGGATAATAAGCATGTTAACAAATAAATACATTATAATTGAAGATAATGTCAAGTCACATAATAGAAAATAAACAAGGATAATTCATGACTCAAATAGTTGTTCATTGAAAACTTCTCTTAGAAGGAGATATTTGAACTACTTCCTGGATGATGAAAAAAATATCAACTGGCCACATGAAAGATCTGGGGAAACAGGGTCTGAGACAAAGACAACAGTCAATTAGAAAGATCAGGAGTTCAAATTAATTTTTACACTTGAAAGAATAATTTTTGAAGATGATTAGAATTATGTTTTATTAAAATTAATTTTAATTCTCGATAGGAAGTCTTCACAAATGCAGTCATAGGAGAGTCAAATGGTTAAGGAAAACTTTTCTAAGGATATCTTATATCTTCTCAATCTATAAAGGGATTTAAATAATAATTAGTATACAAAGAATAGGTGTCTAAGCCCTCTCTGGTGGCACAAGGAGTTAAGCACCGCACAATGAAGCAATCCGCAGCCTCTGCAGCACGAGTTCAATCCCTGGCCGGCCAGGGAGAAACCCACAGGGCGAGCAGACCTCTTCTGACTCACCCGCTGCTACCCTCAGCAGTGTATTTTGTCAGGCTGCCTGTT